CTGGTGGCTTGTATTTTACTTTTATTCTGACTATTCTGGAACAGTAGGGTATTAAGAATTATTCATGAACATTTTAATGTGTGTGTGATTATATATGTATTCCTTTTATCGTACTATTTTCCTTGTCTGGGCAATGAGTTTGAAGCGTAAAGCATCATGTGCTATCTGATAAGCGTGCAGTTTATTCAGAATGACCTTTAAGCTTTGTCAGTACCTTGTGGTAGAGTGGAGATACTTAACAGTATCCAAAGGTAATGATACCAAGAAATGAACTATTCACTGAATTTAATAGGGTTGTACTTTAATTATCTTAATAATCAAAGAGCTATTCATATATGGGACTTGCTGGGCATAGCTGTGTACATGTGTGTTTGTGGAAGATCACAGAATAAACTGGAGACTCCTCTTGGACCTGGAGCTAAGTCTGTGTTTATTCTGAATACATAAGCTCAGGCTGTGAACATGTGGTTTACTTGTTTCATTATCCATAGTGTCTTTTGTATGTTGATTTTACATTGGCTTGGGAGAATTCAAGTACTTGTTTCATGTGGTGAAGGTATACATGCCTCTCTTTAATCATTCCTTGTACTTCTAGTGCGTGTTAGTTTCGGAAGTTAAGATACAACCTAAGGTAAATTTTGCCCCTTTTGGAGTTCAGGGGACCATTTCCATATCGACTCCTGCACTAAGGTGCAGTGCTGCATTTGTGACACCGATTTCCATGGCTGTGGGTGGACTTCAGCCACAGGCTTGACTCCTGTAAGAAGCTGTTTTGGGAGACACTGGGTTTTTATAGCAGTGATATCTCTAGCAGGGATCAAAAGCAAACATGCCATCCAGGCAAAGGCGCTCACACGTTGGATAGCTGCAGTGTGAAAACTGGATCCTTTAAATAGGAGCAGTAGTAAAGTGATCTGCTCTTGGTTTTGAGCTCTATAATACTTCTGAAAAAGAAATTAATTGGGCTAATTCTTACAATGCAAACTTCCTGAGTTTTTGGCAGGGCTTGTGACTTAGTTTCTGGTAGCATTTAGTCTGAATATTGTGTGTGAGCAGCTTCCCAAGATCACAGTACGTTTTTCCTAGTCATTTTCCAGTCAACTTCATAAAAACTGCAACATCCACATGTGAATGAAGATCAAAGTGCTCTTATTCTGAAGATACTTCAGTTTTGATCCTGTGTTAGACCCAACTTAGCCAATCTGAAAGAACTATCTATTGCCGTGGTTTCACTTAACGTTTTTCATCAGTGCTGGGGTAATGAGCTCCTTCATTGCAACTGCTTCTTAGAGATGCTGTTTCATAGATATCTTTGTCTACTGTAGCTTCCCAATTTATGAAGACATTAAGTAGTCTAGAATAATTTTTATTCCCAAGGGATTTCCGTGTAAATGTTTAAAACCCCCTTATTTTGCAGCAGTTGGTCCTGGACAAGCTCAACTGCTGAGTCTTACAGCAGAAGAGTCTTACGTTTTCAGCTGGTTTAGCAAACATGAATATGGATTTAGTGAGTAAGCAAGTGCTCATTTTAAAATGGTTGCAGTAAAAGAGTAGTAGAAAATTGAAGTGGTCAGTTTGAGGTATCTGTACTGCTTGTATATGTTTTTCTTAGCTGGGCTGTTCTAGTAAATAACTTGTGATGTGACACATGCAGGTTTAGCATAAACTTAAGTAGTGCTTGACCAGCCACTCTCACGGTAAGATAGTAGTCTTCATGTTTCACTGAACTGACTTTTGATAAGGGCACGTAGGGACAGGACAAGGGGAATGGCTTTAAACTCAGAGAGGGGAGAGTGAGATGAGCTCTTAAGCAGAAGTTCTTCCCTGTGAGGGTGCTGAGGTGCTGGCACAGGGTGCCCAGAGAAGCTGTGGCTGCCCCATCCCTGGCAGTGTTCTGCCCTCTCCCTGCCTTCAGTCTTCTGCTCTGCAGATGGAATAAACCCACCTCCTTCAGCCGTTTGTGCCTCACCTGCTCTAAGTCCTAGCCATGCTTATGGCCATTTTGTGGGCTGTCTTTACTTCCATGGATATGACTGTGCATCCCCTGCTCTCTGAGCTTCCCTTATACAACCCTCCCAGCCAGCTGCAAGCTTAACTTAAAATTCTAAGCAGTGAATTGCTGTCTTTGAAACAAAGATTGGCATTTATTATTTAATATCTGTATGCAGTGTATCTTATGCACTGCATCTAAAATGTGGAAATTATAGCAGCTTTGAGGTGGTTTCTGCTTCCTAGGAGAGTGACCTTCCTTTCTGTAGTATTGATGAGGGTTAGTATTCAATCCTCCTCCTTCTCTCCTATGAAAAGAAGATCAAAGACGAACCAATCATCACAATTCACCAAGGGTTATCCTTTTTTGTTTGCTTCTTTTCTGTTCTTTTCTAAGGTTAAAGCTATTCCCCTCAGTGCCATGCCCTTTGGTTATATACCTGCCTGTGGTATATATAGCTTACACCATAGGTGGTAACTAGCAGTCTTGAGATTTGTTGCTTTGGGCACTTGGGTTTCAAAACATGTAGCTACTATTTTCATAGGTGGGTGTGAGACGAGTTGTGTAAAGTGTAGGATGTGGAAAATAATGATATATTCGTTCCTCTCCCTTAATGAAGGGTGTCTGTGGGAATAGGATAAATAAGTAGGAACGCTGGATATGACAGTCTTCCTGAACAGGCAGTGTGGGCTGCACGGTGCTGTCTACTGTGTTTGTGCTATGGTTAGCACAAAAATTGCTGATGTAATTTGGGTCTAACTGTGCAAATATTTCTTTAATTAGCATCGCTCATGCAAATACACCCAAAGAACCTTTAGGTAGATGTAACACTTCTGAAATGTATCTGTTGTATAGGCATTTTTGGGTGTTGGGACATACCAGGTTATTAAGTATTTGTGATACTCAACCTGCGTTTTGTAGAGAAAGAAACTTCATGATTACTAAACTTAGTCTGTAGTAACTGTGGTATCACAGTCAGGCACCAGACTTGCCTGTGTACTTCTGTTCTTGCTTATGTTCTCTCGCAGCTGGCTACTAGTTCTCCTTCCTAACATGCCTGTCCTCTCTCCCCCTGCCCCCCAAGTTCATTCATATGCTTTTCACATAAACATTCGTCACTCCTGTGAGGGATGATTTTCTGCTGGGTTACAGAGCCTGTTTTCTTTTACGCACTGCAACAGATACCAAAACATCATTTGCAAGTCCAGAGGCGTTTCAGAAAACATTTATTCCAGCACCAAATATCATCTAGAATGGAGATTTTTAACTAATTTTACATAGTCGATTTTTAAGGGGCACTTTTGTTACTGTTGACTTGTTGGCAAATGTTGCATTTAATAGAAGTTCTCACTTTCTAATATGCACTTGCACCTCTTATGTCCAAATGTGTGACTTGACATCCCATGATGCATATACCTCTGTCCTGCTGGATAGCCTTGCACAGAACTGCTTGTGTTATTACTTAGGTGGGAAGACCTGAAGATCAAGAAGCTGCAGGGCTTGGTTTTAATGATCCAGTTCAGAGCACATCTCTTGCTGAGTAATATCCTTGCATTGTCTTAACAGCCCCAAATCATCATCCAATAATAGATAACCCTGACTTAATAATGAGGTCATGAATGCCTGTAGTCATCACAGTTTTACTTGTAGATAAAGGAATGTCTAATCTCACCATCTCATTACATTTTGAATGTAGAAATCATTTCCTGCTTTGCTTCCTTTAGTATTTTAACTTGTAAGTAGCAGCTTTTTCAGTCCTGGCCGTACTAGTTCTGAGTGTTTGGTAGCCACAAGTCTCTGCTTCTCCAGCTGAAGGAGGGTCCTGTGTTTCACAGGTCCTTTGTTGTTCATAAAGATACAAAACTGTCTTCAAAGGTTAAACATTTATCTTCAGATGAAATGGATGTTTCCAGTTAGTCTGAGTAACTTGAATAAACCCTGTGTGCCATGGACAGGCACAGGGATTAGTCAAGTCTTGATCTTTACAGGACTGTGACCTTTACTGTGTTACTTTTGGGGTGGTAACAGTAGTAAAATGTCATCAGTACTATGTTGCATTAAGTTAAGCTTTGTATTAAATGCTGGCAAGCTGTGTTACATCACATCCAGATGTTAATGTAGTTGTTTGTGTTGGATTTGTCACTGCAGCATCGTGATCTGAAGTCATAGCTTCCTTCATTAGCATTTGGCAATAAGGTACTGGATTATTATGTATTATTATATTAGTTGTATTGTAAGTATGGCTAATTATGGTTATACAGTTGTGACAGTAGCAAAGAATATAGAATATATTCTATAATATAGCTAGGATATAGACATGATAATCTTTTAACAACTATTTGAAGTCACTAGATCTTGTCTACTGGAATTCCAGGTTGGACAGGAATTGGATAGCTTGGTTTTAGCTAATCATTTCAGTTAACCCACTTTGGTTTAACTAAATACAGCTGTCAGCTTCTGGCTCCTTTTTTCACTTAACATTTCCTCTGCCCTTTTAAAGGTGTTGATAGCATTGTATCAAGACTAAGCAATATTTGAATCTTTTATTACTCCCATTGAACCAATGTTTAGCAGGGTTTACTGGTCCATTAAGAGACAGAAATCAGAGGTTACAGTTAATTCTAGTCATAATCTAATAAAACTTGATTAAATGGCAGCGTGTAAGAATTATTTTGCTATTCAGTGCTTTAGGTGTTTGAAAGCTGGGAGTTGTTAGTCAGAGATACAGTGAAAGTCATTATGGTACTTCTATTCCAGGACCTTCTAAGGCAACTGCAAAAACAATTCAGTACCTGGAATCTTGGCAGTGAGCAGACTTGAGTTTGTGTTATAAGGTTCTGGTAGCCCAGTGCCATGGTGATTTTCAAGTAATTATTTGTTTTACTGCAAAACCCTTCAGCTGTCATAGAAAATATCACTATATAAAATGAATGCACTGATATTTTTGTATGTCTCTGATGTTTCTTCACAGAACTCGTAACAATAACAAATTCCTGTGTTGCAGATTTAATCCAGTGCACAAATGAGATGAATGTGAACATCCCCCAACTGGCAGACAGTTTGTTTGAAAGAACTACCAACAGTAGCTGGGTAGTGGTCTTCAAATCTCTCATCACAACCCATCATCTAATGGTGTATGGAAATGAGGTAAGACCAAAAATGAGATGTCTGGGAACAGTTAAAGCATTTCATTTCTATAAATGTCAGCTAAATGCTTCACACTGATGATCTTTGTAAGAAATGCTCTATTTTTACTTCTTTGTGTCTTACTCTGCATGAACACAGGTCTCGTTATATGTCTGTCTACTTAGTTTGTTTCTACTTTACATACAGTTTATAAGTTTAGAATCAGTGTCCTGAATGCTGGAGGTACCTTTTTTTCTGTAGTGTTATTCTAATAACAAAATACCCCCAAACCCAACAGAAATGAACTTGAAAGGGATTCTGGAAGCTGAAGATGTGGAAGTATTTTTAGGTTCACGCTCCAGCTAATCCAGATGGTAATTTTTCCCTCATAACTCGATTCTGAACTGATTTCCATCATCACCCCATAATCTTTTGCAGTGAAGATAAATGTGTGCCTCTGAGCTGGCTTTGAGTTTGAACACCTAAGTAGCACCAAATACTGTAGAAATATTAAACAAATCCCCAGTTTACACAAAAAGGAGTAAGTTTGTGTTGTTCCACAATTGGAATTCCTATGGGGGCCTTATTTTTTCAAATGGAAAATGTAGCAGCTTGGAAGTTTCTGCATTTAAAAAAAAACGCCCAAAATTATACTTTAAAGGCTTCCTTAGAAAATGTTTCTAAACCTTCCTTTTTACTGTATGCAGTATAAGGTAAACTATATGAATATCGGGATTAAGAGGGATAGCTTTACAAAATTACAAGTAGGATTTTCTAGAGAGAACCCAAACTTTTCATTTCAGGCTGCAGTGTTCTTACAGGTTCTGTACTTGCTTCCTCTGGCTAACTGACTGGCTTGTGGTTGGGTTAGAATACAGTTGTTTCTCTTGCAGGTTAGCTGCAGAGCACATCTTGTCTTGGTGAAAATCTGTTCTTTGAAGCCAAGTAAGCCACAAGAGGGCAGACTCCTCATGTTGACTTTAAGCATTGTCACTGGGATAATTGACAGTTCCCAAAATAGTCTCTATGCTTTTGGTGTGCTTGCACTGAGTCATATAAATTCTAAACTGATACCAATACAGTTCATAGTAATTAAAGGTATTTCATGAGACCACTGTCTGAAATACTTCCTATTTTAAGCATAAAACTGCCAAACAAATTTTGCTTGCCACATGTGTTACAGAAGTAATGAGGGTTAGATTGCTGCTCAAGATGAAGCTTTTCACAGCTAAAAATTGTTCTTGATCAATGAACGTGGAAATTGAGTGCTTCTAGAATCATTTAGGTTGGAAAAGATTTAAGATCGAGCCCAACTGTTAACCCAGCACTGCCAAGTCTACCATTAAACCACATTCCCAAACTCCACATGCACACGTCTTTTCAATACCTCCAGGGATGGTGACTCAACCCCTTCCCTGGGCAGCCTGTTCCAATGCTTGAAATGATGAAAGTGTCTAGAGGTTTTGAGAGAATCTGTAAATCCCTTTGCAAAAAAACCCTGAAAAGCAGTTGGTTCTGCAGCTTTTTCTGAATTCATTTACAGCAGAGCACTGAAGTGCCTTTACACTTCTCCAGTCTTTTTTCCAATGTAACCTATGTATTTCTGCCAATGAAAATAATTCAGTGGTATATGTTACACTAATCAGAACTATTTTTTTCTCTCTGTCAAAATGTTATTGCAAGTGAATGTTTGGTTTATTTTTGTAACAGCTCTCTATACAATGGTTCATATGACAAAGTTATTTTTCCTACTAAATTAAGATGTGGTGCCAATGATCTGAAGTGTCTTTACAAGATGAAAATCACATTGTGAAACCTAATTCAAGAATGAGGTGTAACTAATAAGATGTACTAACTGTGATACTGTGTTAATGCTTTATATGCATTCTTGTGTTTATTTAACACTTCATTTATAAGCAAACTAACATTTATATCACCTTTTCATATTTAAGCTAAGTACCATTACAAATGTAGGCTGAGCACTACCAACAAGCCTTGGCTGATGGGTAAAATGAAATCAACTGTTACAAACTTGAAGTCAGTGAAACAACTGTGAGCATGTAAAATGAGAATGTATTTGGGGGTTCAGAAGTTTCCAGTTTAATATTCTGGCTTCAAAAAACCAAAGTGTCTGAGTCAGAGGCAATCAACTTCACGTTGATTTGGTCACAGGTTTTTACATAGAAAATAATAAGTAGCTTCATTTGAAAGTTCACTTGAGTTTTTGTAATAGCTTCCAGATTTGAAATCAGTCTTAAAGCATAAAAGCTGAATTTCATAAGCTGGCTAAAAAGAGTTTCTAAGACTTTTACCTCAGTTGCAGCTCACGGGTAACGCAGTAAAAGCATTCCAATTTTTCCTTTCATCCAGCGTTTTATCCAGTATCTGGCGTCCAGAAACACGTTGTTTAATCTGAGCAATTTCCTAGACAAGAGTGGATTGCAAGGTAAGGTGACTTTTTCATTACCAGTTGGAGGAGTGCTGGGGAACAGTAAATGCAACTTGGTAACTCTAATGGATCCTGTCATTTCAGAAGTAATTTTTCTGTCTGTTTTACCCCAAACAGCATTTCTTAATTCCAATGCTATTGTGGCATGGCAGAAGCTGTCTGCTGGAGGAATGGGTTGTATCTTTTAGGAAAGCCTTTACCTATAAATGCTTCTAACTTTTTTAGCTAAACAGATGTGACCGTTCCTCCTATTTCTGAAGAGCTTTCTCCATTTGAAGAGGTATATTTTGATTGGTAGCTTCAATTCCAACGAATGCATCATTATGGACATTGGATACAACATGTCAGTGAGACAAGAACTGTGTCTAAATGAAGAAATTAACTTTTTGGGAAATTATTCACAGGCCATTCCAGCTGTCTTTGAGGCTAATTCTGTGGGCAAATAAGTTGTTTTCTCATTCAGATTTTTCAGGTGAAATACCCTTCCAAAGTCTTAGCTGCATTTCAGTGCAGTTTTAATCATACATAGACTCACAGCATGGTTTGGGTTGGAAAGGACCTTAAAGCTCATCCAGTTCCAACCCCCTGCCACAGGCAGGGACACCTTCCACTAGAGCAGGTTGCTCCAAGCCCCTGTGTCCAACCTGGCCTTGAACAGTGCCAGGGATGGGGCAGCCACAGCTTCTCAGGGCACCCTGTGCCAGCGCCTCAGCACCCTCACAGGGTTGCTGTTGCCTTTGTCTGCTGAGGTGGTTTCTTACCATCTGCATTACTTTTTATATAGGTACGTCTCATTTTTGCCACAAAACAGGCACACAGGGAGGTGGCCTGGGGACAAATCCTTCTCAGTAATAACCAGAGGTCTAGAAATCGCTTCATTTTAGTGAATCTTAACTTCCATGGTCTCAGTATAAATTACAAACAGATTTCATTTCTTGGTCTTTATCCTCAGACTGACAGTTATCAAAATATATCCTATAGCCACAGTCTTAACATTGAAGAATTTTTGTCATGTCTTAATATTTCCTTCAATTCCTTTTAGTTATTTCTATTCAGTTGCAAATGAGACAATGTGTTGTGGAGCTGACATCAACATTTTCATCATGCATGCAACTTATTTGGTACCAATTTCTATCATAAGTACGAGAGAACTTGCATAAAAATACTTTGGTTTGCTTTTGGAAGTAATTTCTTTGGAAGTAAAGTGTAAACTTGTATGTTGTTCAGGTATTCTAGATACCATATTGTCTGATTTATATGGTAAATACAAGGATGTACACTGTTTTTCATAACAGACTATATTTTTGCCTAATTTTGTGTAGTTAATGAAGCTGTTTTGAGTGAATGTCTTGCACTTTTAGACTGAGGTTCTTGTTCTTTAATTGACTGGGTAAGTAATAAGCTTCTGGAACTTGTTTTTTAGGTTATAACATGTCAACGTTTATCAGACGGTATAGTAGGTATCTGAATGAAAAGGCAGTTTCCTATAGACAAGTGGCTTTTGACTTCACAAAAGTAAAAAGAGGGTAAGGACTGTGTTTTGTTTTACTTATTTTGAATTACAGGCCATAAGGCAAAACCTGTTGAATGCAGTATAGGGGACTATGCAATTTACTTGTGTTTCTAGCTCTGCGATGTTTAAATGTTGTGGTTTAACCCCAACCCACAGCTAGGTACCATGCAGCTGCTCACTTGCTCTCCCTCCAGCCCCTTAGTGGGATGGGGAAGAGAATGAGGAAAAAAATCAAACCAGCAGGTTGAGGTAAGAACAGTTTAATAATTGAAATAAAGTAAAATATAACAGTAAGAATTTTTTAAAGGGAAAAGAGAGGAAAAATGCAAGAAACACAAGTGATGCCCAATGCAATTGCTCACCACGTGCTGACTGATACCCAGCCCGACCCGAGCAGAAGTCAGTCGATGCCCAATGCAATTGCTCACCACGTGCTGACTGATACCCAGCCCGACCCGAGCAGAAGTCAGTCCCTTCTGGGTAACCCCCCAGTTTCTATACTGGGCATGATGTGCTGTGCTGTGGAGTACCCCTTTGGCTAGTTTGGGTCAGGTGTCCTGTCTCTGCTCCCTCCTGGATTCTCATGCCCCTCCTCACTGGCAGAGCATGAGACTGAAAAGTCCTTGATCAGGGTAACTGCTACTGAGCAACAACTAAAACATCGGTGTGTTATCAGCATTGTTCTCAGACTAAATCCAAAACCCAGCACTGCACCAGCTACTAGGAAGATGATTAACTCTATCCCAGCCCAAATCAGGACACAGGTGTTCTGTGAAACACCTTGCAGTCCTTCCCAGTGTTTCTCTGTTATTGTCCCAAAACATCTGTATAAAGTTCACTACCTTTGTAAATGTAGTGCAGTTCATACTTTTAACAGAACATTGCAGTAATTGCTATTCTGACTTTCTGTACAGGAATTAAAATTTTCCCTGGAAAGTGAGATCCTGTAATAGGAATTAGTTATTTGAGACTAGGTACCTGTTTACATGTAAAATAACACAGTGCAGAGCACCAGTAGTTGGGTAAATTGTGTGTTACAGTGAATGATAGAATGAATCTGGACATATTCATTGAGAAGGCTGGGGAGGTGGTGATGGTTAAGTCTTTCCATCTTTTTCCATTATCTCTGTATACAGTGCTTTTTAGAGTTTAAAAATGTAATTTTAATTTTATATTTGGGCAGCCTTTATCATCCTTACATGGGTTAATTTATATGGAAACTAAAAACTTAATTCTGAGCCCACAAAAATCTCAGCTTTAAACTTTACTTAATGATATAAGGGCAGTAGTGGGCTGTCCAATGGTATCTTGCATTAGTGTTACAAAGACATTTGGAACTGGCCTCAGAACAGTGCCCAGATCCCTTTTACCTCCTTGCTAATACTGTAGAGTCCCTTTAGTTTTGAAGTATGATGGTAAAATAAGAGGGGTGCTTGGGCTCCTTTTGCTCTTTCTGCATTTAGAGATGGTTGGAGTCCCAGGCACACAAACTACTTAGGCTTTTCCACATATAGAATGTGTGTGTGGTCAGGTGGCTGCACATACATAATTGATTGTCACACAGCTATTTTACAATCAGGTGTTTCAGGCCTTATGAGGTGAATTATTTAGCCCACAGCACATGCCTGGAGGTCATTCTGTGAGCCCGCGGGAATTGCTTCTGGTGGCAACAATCTACCTTCTCCACACCTTAGTTTTCCTCAAGGGCTCTTCTGGCACATTAAACTTATTCCAGTTGTTTGCTGTGAGGAAGGAGTATACAGCATGAGTGGAAGGCTGGAAGCAGTGTGGTCCTCACTGCTTTCCAGCCTGGAGAACAGCCCCAGCCTTTCTGTGCAGATGCACTGCGAGGTGTGCACTCGCAGGAAATGTTTGGTTTGCTGTGTGCATGCTGATGAACTGCAAGGCTGGCTGATTTGCCTTACAGAAAGCAGTTGTTTCTTGTCACTGAGGTGATTTAATCTCTTCCTCAGTTGTTGCTTTCCTTGGGATATTTTTGGTATTCATTTGATGAGTTGTTTCAAATGTGCAGCCAATCTTAGTCTGTTAAATCTGAGCAATTAATAAAACAACCAAATACTGGTAATCAGTCATTAAAAGGAAATGTTGTGTAGTCTATGAACTTTGTGTTCTTGGAAAACATTGCCATGTTTGTTTAGTCTTTCTGACTGCTTTTAGTTGCAAAGAAAATCATCCAAACTGACACAAAATAATCATCAGATGATTGGAAAAAGCATAGGTAAAAACTTGCTTCAAAAATAACCTTCAGAGAATTGTTTTATGTTTACCTGATGCATCATAGCTCTGCTGTATTTCTGAGCACTATCAGTTTAATTTCCTCTGAATAAAAACTCATCTTAGATTCATATTTTGGCCAAACAAGTTGTTGCTTTTGTACACTGCAGTTATTGCAGTTGTATTGGCCAGACAGCATTCCTAAACACCAGAATGCCTGCTTTGAATGGCAATGATTTTAAATGTTCTCTGATGACCTATTTTATTTTCTACATTGTTTCTTACTAACAACTGACTTCAAAATTCAGGTGAAGAATGTTCCTTTTTTTTTGCCCAACAGGGCTGATGGGGTGATGAGAACAATGAGCACAGAAAAACTCCTAAAAACTGTACCAATTATACAGAATCAAATGGATGCACTTCTTGACTTCAATGTAAGTTTGGCAACGTATGTACACGTCTTAACATACTATTGATTTTGTACAAACCTGCACAAGCTTGTAAAATAGGTCAGGATTAAAGGTCTTGAACATGGTTCCATGTTATCTGCACAGCCTAAAGAGCACAAAGTATTTTCTTCATTGGTATACTTCCAAGAAATCAGGAGAAAACAAATATTTGCTCACTGGAGACAATGCCATGTGCTAAGTTAGTGGTGTTTATTGTGTACACTATGTAAGAATTGTTTGTTCATTTAAAAGGTGATTATCTCTGCCCTCTGTCTTCTAATTAGTTAACATTAGTTAACAAAATTATGTGCCAAAATAATTTGACTTGATCCTCTGATATGTTGTGCTGCTACTTTCCACTAATAGCCTGTGAAATGAATGGAAAGCATGCCTTGGGATAGAGAACTAGAGTTCAACTAGAAGTTTTCCAATAAGGGATCAATCCAGCTAAATTAACTTCTTTTCTGATCTTCCTAGGTCAATAGCAATGAGCTTACAAACGGTGTAATTAATGCTGCCTTCATGCTCCTCTTCAAAGATGCCATTAGACTGTTTGCGGCATATAACGAAGGGATTATTAACCTCTTAGGTAAATATAACTGCTTTCTGCAACATTATGCTCAGTAAACAATTACAAAGCTGGTTTTTTTTTTTCCTGAGAAGTTGAAATAGTCTTATGGTAAAACATCAAAATAAATCTGAATTGGAAATAACAGTGATATTTCCAAGGGTTTTTTTTCTGTTTAATTGCATTTTCCATTGCATTGTACTGGGATGGGTAAACCTCTGAAAATGAAGCCAAGTCATGATTTTCATTACTTGCACTGCTTTATGGTGGATTTATTATTCTTTATTTTTTGTTGTCTCATTGAAGTGCATGCAAACCTGAATCATGATATTGATGGGCTTTTCTTCCTTTAAAAAACAAGATCAGGTTTTGTTTCTTTTTAAGTGGAATAAGTTGTAGTCAGTTACAAATTTGCAGTCACAACATCTGTGATTGCTTGGCCATTGAAATTCAAATGTTGCTTGGGTTTAATGGTTGGTTCATGTTCTAGAGCATATCTTTTAAGGGGAATTACAAATTCAGGGTTCAGGCCCTTTCACTTGCACACAGTGGAGATGCCGGGGAGCCTAAGCTTGGAAAATGAATTGAAAGTCATCTGGTGGTTTGCTTGATTTGGTTGTATTCTGTGATTGGATCAAGCTACCTGATTGCTGGTATTACCCAGTGCTTGCAAAATGGAAAGCAAAGTCCAAAATTAATCAGCAAAGGACAGCATTAAGTCCGTCAGCATGAAGCCTTTGTCTACTTCTCTTCCCTCAGTAAGCATTAGCATGCAGTTGCTTTCACTCATGTTTGGGGTGAAACTGAATACAGAAACAAGCCTTGAAAGTGCTAATTCAAGGAGAGGAGAGTGGGACCCTCTTGCTTTCAGTTTTGTAATCAAATGTACCTCATTGTAGACCACACCATAACAAGAGGCATCAGTCTGGCAGAGAGCATCTAAATCGTGCCTGATACTATGGCCACTGGAATAAAGTAGATGTCTGACTGCCAGATTGTAAAATTGCTTTATTTCAACCAAGATGATGAATTTACATTTCTTTGGGTGACCTATTCTTAAATTTGATTGTCCTCTTCAGGGTGGTTATGCTTTTGTGAGATCTAGTACCTGCAAGGTAAGGTGTTTGCATGCATGTGAGCATTAGCTCGTGCTCGATGGAGCTTCTGTCACTTGGTGCAAGTTAGGCATAGTGACCTCTGCAGTTAACATAAAACAGATCTGCAGGCTGTTTTCAGTTTGTCTTGGTTTATATGCTTTGACTTTGCATATCCTTTGCAGAATGCTTGGTTTCTTATTTAATGCAAGTATTCTCACTCTTTATAGAAAAATACTTTGATATGAAAAAGAACCAGTGCAAAGAAGGCCTTGATATATATAAGAAGTTCCTCACTAGAATGACACGGATCTCAGAGTTCCTTAAAGTTGCAGAGGTAAATGTCAGTCAGCCACTATTTAAGTCAATATATAAGCCAATATCATGCCTTATGTTTGGAATAGCTTATAAAAGTGCTCATTTTCTCATAAAGCAGATCATTTTTCCTTCCAGCCTAATTGCAGTTCCATCAAGGGCCATCTCATCAGCCTCTACCCTGGTGATTAGTTCATTTGAGGGCTGTATTGAAAACCTGAATGCAAAATAATTACTATTTTATCTTAAGAAGGATGTGTAAAATGCATTTTAAAACTTCCTTGGCTACATAATAATTGTGAGCTTTCTTTGAAGAATAGCCTTGCTTTGAAGGAACTCACATCATGGTGATTTGCTGCTTTCTATGATTCTACCTGTATTCTAGTTTGAAACCTGCAATTGTGCCATAGGTTTTAGATGAAATATCAGCTCACAAATAAGAAATTGAATGAACATATGATTATTTTTTTCTTGTTTTGCTTTCATTATTCACATCTATCTTAACAAAAAAAATAAGCCATAGAGCTTCTTGGCTCATGGTCTGCCCTGACACAGTATCTCTATCAGAGATACTGTCTTCAGTTCGTAACGCTATCAGCTGAAGTTGAGCGTATTAATCCTCCTATTGTAGCAATATATCCTGTTTCAGAACATCTTAAGTTTGATCTGCGTTTTAGAAAACAGCTTCTTCATAGGACTGTGAAGGTGCTTTGTTTCAGCAAATACGTGCTCTGGATCAGTAGGTCTGAGAGCTTACCACAGAAATTGTGGGATAGGCAAACTTCTCCAGCCTTAAAACTCTGACACACTTGATTCTCACTGGTTTATTTCTAAGGTGGTACTGTTAAAATCTGTAACGTGCCTACTTCAAATGTGTATACATTTAACAGAAGAATTTGTTATAACCAACCATTTTAGAGTTCAGATTGTGGAGATTTAAAATGTGTATGAACAGCTTTGTGCCTTTTACATCATCTTAATATTGTTTGAATTTTAAGCATCTCTGCCTTTAACAAAAGCAAACAGGTTTTAAAGCTCATTTGTTTTATTACAGCAAGTTGGAATTGACAGAGGAGACATACCAGATCTCTCACAGGTAGATAAACCTATTATGCTTGCCAGTACATGTCTGTTCGGGGTTGCATAATCAGAAAAACTTGGCATTATGGCATTCACTTATGCTTTTTTTATGTCTGTTGTCACCAAGTTATTTCCAGGTTTGTGATTAAATTCAAACCCTGTCAGAGTCTGGCTTTTATATGCAGTGATCTACTGTAAAATATTCTAGCTCATTTCTGTCATAGTCTGAGTTTGAAGACAACCTTATTTCTATTGTGCTTGAAGACATAATTAATATGTGTGAGTTCACATAATGAAGCTTTTACATGATATTAAGAAGCTGTGGGTTTTAGCAAGCTTGCTTTTGGCTTAATGCCCACTTAAATCATTGTGAAGGCTTGCAGAGTGTGTACACAGAAATGACATTAGGTACAATTTCCTTTAGTGCCTCTTGAAATACCGACTGCTTCCGATTGTCTGCTTGCTGCTTCCTAGCTGTTGATTTTAACATCTCTTGACATATTTCAGTACCTATTGGTGAGTCATTATGACAGAGTAATGTAGTGAGGAGAGTACCTCACCTGATATTTTAAGTAATTAAATACGTGCAGGGTGCCAAGATGTGGTATAAGTGTTCTGAGCCATTGTACCAGTCACACTACAGTTGCATTCTCTCAAAGTCTTTTAACTACTGATTTTCTTCGCCTTAGATTCTTTAAGTCTGTTTCTGAATGTCTCTCTTTGCAGGCACCAAGTAGCCTTCTTGATGCTTTGGAACAACATTTAGCTTCTCTAGAAGGGAAGAAAATCAAAGATTGCACGGCTGCAATCAGGTGCTTATGCCCTTGTCCTTTTAAACGTTGAATTGAATGTTAAATCCATTATAAACTAAGGTTTGTTTAGGTTACATTGAAGACAGTCTGTTAGCACTTACAGAATAGCAAGTTGGTGTATCTTTTGCTGAGTAGCTTTTCCAGATCAACAGAACTAGACTCTGGGGAGCTGCAATCACTTGCTATAGAATCCTTCATGTAGTTATGCTTTTAACATCTAATCTTAAACTTCTGAAGAGAAACTAAGTCAGAATATTTGCTTTCCATCATAAGATTAATTTGTTTTGAAAGTTAACTGTTTCTTTCAGATCTTTTTTGCACTCTTAAACATGATGATAGATTGCAGACTTTTCCTCTGGGATATACTAGTATTGGTAGTCCCTTAACTAAACCTGTTAAATTAGCAACAGTTTGAATTGGAGCCCAGATTGTCGGATATTCCCATGTGTCTATAGATAATGCCATTTGAGGCAAACAGGAAAAGAGCAAAGGCTTCAAATGTGAATTCTGTGATGCAGTTTGGAGGGGAGGCATTTAAGGGGGAAAATCCCCAGTTCAGTGTATAAGAGTAGATAGCACAATTTCTAGGCATTTTCATTTTGCAGTTCATATGCTGTGTCTTATTTAAACTTACCACTTCATATTGTACAGTGTAAGATACAACCAATGTCATAAGGGGTTAAGGAGACTGGGTGGATACAAGCAAGGAGTTTTCTAGGTGTTCCTGTCACGTGTCACCTATTAACAGCCAGCTTTTCTCCTGTCCAATTACTTTAGGGCTATCACCCTTTTCGATGCAGTCTCTTCCCTTGCAAGCACTGACCTGTCCCTTACAAAAGTAGATGAAAGGGAAAAACAAGCTGCATTAGAGGAAGAACAGGCTCGCTTAAAAGCTTTAAAGGTAGGCTTACAGAGTTTTAAATTCGAGAATGCTTTACCTGTGTTCTTGTTGATAGCTTGGTAGGATTCTTAAAGGAGCAAAGGATAAAACCAGAGTTGTTAATACTGAGTATGTACTGTTGGCAAGTGCTGGAAGTACAATCGTATGTACATACAGCATAGAACTTGTGGAGGGGGGGGTTGTTGAAATGGTTTCTGAAGGTGGCACCATTGGCTTTTGTAATTATAAGTAGCTGACACTAGTGTGTGGGATAAATAAAAAACTTTACTCACCTCCAAAGTCAGATACACAAATGCTGTTTGTGGATTTCTTATGCCAGCTCACTTTCCCAACAGGAGCAACGTCTAAAAGAACTTGCAAAGAAACCTCATACCTCTTTAACAACTGCAGCTTCTCCTGTGTCGACTGCAGCAGGAAGCATAATGACTACACCAGCCATTGATGTTTTTTCTACCCCTAGCTCTTCAAACAGGTATGCTTAATAGTGTTGCTTCACTCTGGGTTGCACTGCAGTTAGCGTTTCCTCTGTGTTTCTGCTGCCGGGTGTACACTGTAGGAGGTTGGTTGGGTGTAGATACATTAGTGATGTGGTACCTTACAATGCTGAACCTAACAAGTTTATTTGGAAGAAGTCAAATTCAGTTTGGGGAGGTCATGAAGATAACGCTGAATTTCATCGTGCATTTCTAGATCTCTGAAAGTAGAATAGTAACAAATGTTCTTGGGGGAGATTTTCAGAGAGAGGAAAGCCCAAAACGGGGTTTGAAAGAAGAGAGGCAGGTTTTGCAGTCTGAAGTTGTATCGGGAACATCTCTGTCTGCAAGGACTTGCAAAGATAGTGCAGGAGTGCTCGCTGTACGCTAATCCTCATCTTTGACTAGCAGGAACTGTTGGTATGAGTAAGGGTGTGATCTTCATTGTGTAAAATAGCTGTCAAATCAAGCAGTAGCAGAAGGTACAGTGCTTTTATCAGTATAGAAGGAAATAGTTCTCTGAAGACATATTTTTGCTTTGAGTGTTATCCTAAACCTGAACGATTGCTTAGTTGCTCTGCTAGAGCTCACATAAAAACCTGCTGTTCTTTTAAAGTAGTCAGCACTTTGACAGCCTCTTTACCCCATTACAAAGCTACTATAGGAAATTACTGGACACCAGTACATGGAAAATAGCTGAATTGTATATAAGGAGCTAGAGAATCTGTCAGTGTTAGTAACTGGGACTTCCTTGGAAAAGATTTTCTTTCAAATTGCTTTTTAGAGGCCAAAATACTTGAAATGGGCATATACTTTGAACTAGTATCTTGAATATCTGATCTTTCTTCTTAAGAGGTCTGAAACATGGAAACATCTGATAAAGCTGCTTCAAACAGCCAGAAATGCTTCATAGTGAAGACAAGAGCGTTTTCTTCTAAAAGAACAAATGCTAGTTTGTCTTCATGTTGATATGCAGTTGCTGGCAGTATGACTGCTATGAGCAAAGAGCAGACTTTACAGCAGGAGCTGATACCCTGGGTCATGAGTTCAGTTGCTTACTATTAGACAGGATGTGTCTGATAAATCCCTATCATTAACTTGAACAAGCTTTAACTTGGAAATGGTCTTGGTGCTGCTGCTCGTGTTATAGGGCTGTGCCAGACCTTGCTGCTTTTTACTAGGAGCAGTAGTGGCAAAATGCAGTTTCAGTGACTGTGGAAATGAAATAGTAGGAACTGAATGATAGAAGTGATTGGGTCAGCAAGAGAATATGCAGAGGTCTAGGATGTCACCACTAGCCTTTAAATCCTGGTGCCAGTCTCATTTTCAGAGATGCCTGGGTATCACAGGGACTTAGCTTCTGTACACACCAGCAGCTATATGTGCAAATTTTGGTTCATTTTCTTGATGAAATGTTCTGGGTGAACGCCAGTACTCCTTTATTTTTTTTATTCCTTTGTCTTTTCCCAAGACAAATTTAAAGTATGAAATGAACTTGCTGCAAGAGATTGAAATTTACTGATCCTGTTTGGCTCTTGAAGTCATTGCAGCACTTCACTTTTCATTTCCATCTGATGTTCTTAGGTCTCAGTTTGGTTTTGAATAGTCTAAAATGTGTATCTAAATGAGTTTTCGCTCACACAACTGATGTGTGTGATTAAGTGTTTCAATTTTGCCTTCCCCAAAGTTCCTTAATAACCTATAGATGTAAGCCAGTTCTCACCAGTGGCTGATAGTGGAAAGATATGAGTTGTGGAATTTAGATGTAACATTTTGGTGGTGCAGCCCATAAGTACATTCTCTGTCCGCCTTTGTCATAGTGCAGGGCTTTCATGAGGTTATTTATAAGTTGCTGAAGATTGCTGACCATAACATGCTCAAGCCTTGAAGCTGGACTAAGAAGAAGAGGAGAAGACTGGTTGTCTTTCTGTCTTAGACAGCTTTGACAAAAGTCACTTGGCTTAACGCAGAACTGGCTATATTAATACTTTTCTACAGAACTGAAAATATGAAGTTCACCAGGCTTCCTGATTTGGGCTTAGTTGAAAGTTCACTCTGTAACAACCGCTTTGTAATGAAGCTTTCCTTGCTGTTGACGGTCACTAGCGTTTGCCTTGTATTGAAAACTGTGATGTAGTTCAAACAGTTGTATTTATCTTTGTAGCACTTCAAAGCTGCCAAATGATCTGCTTGATTTGCAGCCAACTTTTCATCCGTCTGTACATCCTATATCTGCTGCTCCACAAGTAGGAACTACCTGGGGAGGTAAGAGCTCTGAATCGGATTAAGGTTCCAGTTACTATGGCCATGTTCCTATAAGTGTTTCCCCTAGTCTGTGGGCTGTTTCTTAAAGACAGAGATCTTGCAAAGACAAGCTACAAGTGGATGAAGGGAGCAGAAAAAGTGAAACCTGGGTATGGATTAAATTAATGCAGCATCTGATGATTACAGAGAATTTGAATATGAGAGTTTTTAGTAGCAAAATTACTGTAATTGTTGACCAGCTCTGTTTTCAAGAGTCACATAGCAAGGTACAGAACCTTAGCTGTGAGATGTCTGCCACAAACCCCATGTTGCACACTCAGGAACTTGAATATAGAATGTTTTAATAGACGTTTTAAATTCTGTCTAATGTTCAATCAAATTTGCAGGTGAAAATAAGCACAATTTGGAGGCAGCCTGACAGGCAGTTGTGACAGGTATGCATAGAAGGAAAGGAAAGCTGGAGTTAGTGACTGAAAACAAAACAAGGCACCTCTTTACAGATTCTGTGCTGTATTTTGCTTACCTACAAAGGCAAATTAGCAAAAAACTGTGGTTGGATGTCCTGAAGAGACAAAATTTATATGGAACTCTTTTCTCTGAACACCCAAATTATTGTTGTGCCCAGTTGTTGGGGTAGACTGAGACATTAGATTGTCGTATTGATACATGCAAGTCTATAAACCAAGGAGGCAAGCAAGAGCCTTCTAGCAAGTCATGAATGTTATTTCAGATTAGTTTGAATGTTAGAGCATTTAGTCATATACTCAAAGCTGTTTTTCTCTTTGCTGCTTTGCAGTGTTCCAGAATACTTCTGATCTAGGTAACATTGCCTGCTTGCACCATTGGTTATACTGGTGGAGGATTAGGACTCTCTAACGAAGATGCTTCTTTTTACTTTTCTGCATCAATGATTCTTAATAATAAAGTCAACTTCTGAACCATGTGGCTCTTTCCAGATTATGGTCCTTTATAAATCAGAAGCTTGCAAAAATGCTTTATTTTATGATGTGAAAAATTGGGAGTTGCTGCTTCAGAAGGTTTTGTGGGCATCAGCATAATCCTGTTTGGAAATTTTACTTCATTATTCCTTTTTCTGAGCTATAACTTTCCCTAAACATCTTTCCAGTTATCTAATGCAGCTTCATAATAAGCAGTGTATGTATTCTACTTTCCTATTTACTTTTTGCTGTGTGTACTTTGTGTTTTGTGTATCTTCTTGCATTTGTTTGTAAGGAAATAATACACAATTTTGAGTGATGGAGGCAATGCTAATATAAGTGGGAGCTTCAGAATAAAGTAGTTTACTTGTCCTTTAGTTTTGCTGATCAGAGCATCTTTGGAGAAAGATGTGGTGAGGAGCATATTGAGTTATGCATACAGATGTCAGTGTTTAATAGGCTTAGAGTTTAGAAATGGAGAAAAATGTCTTGGCTCATCTTGTTTGCTTTCTGGAAAACATCTTCTGTTTCAGCTTCTATTTGTTTCATGGGTGAGAGAGAAAAGGAGAATTATCTTCTTCTCGAAGGTCACATCACGATCTAGTGTTTCTTTATTAACCTGAGTCTGAAAGTCTGTGTTTGTTCGATGATGTGTTACTCTTGGTAACAGTCTTCAGTAACAGTCAATGATCTATTTCTTACTATTGACACGTACCTAAACACTACTAAGATTCCATTAACTGTGAAGAATTTTTGGATTGTCTGCTGAAATTTTAGGCTAAAACTTCTGGAATCACCATTTTTTATGTTACTTTTCATCAAACCAAATCAAAATCTCTTCAGCTTTACAGACATGACCACTCACTTCACACAGGTGAGGTAGATAAGAAGTGCTTTCCACATTTTAAAGATGAGGAAATCTGAGCAGTTAACTGACTTGTCTGAAGTCATATGACAAGTCAGTGGCAGAGCCAAGAATGGAACCTGAACCATTTCCAGTCCTGTGCTCTAACCACTGCCCAGCATCCCTCCCTTAGGTGATTTTCTGACATTATGATGTTTGTATTTGGTGTGTACGGTGACTTTGAGAACAGAATGTCAAACCAGCTACAAGTTGCAATGGACTAAAATCAGTTACTGTTAAACACTTCATGCAGCAGCTCTTAAGTGTGCAATAAAAAGATAAACTGTTCCAAAAGCATTGTATTTGCCTTTTGCCTTGTGCTTCCAATGGTGTTAAACCTAACAAGGGTAAAAACTTCCAGAGAATGGCTTCTGTAGTTGTATGTTTGCACTTTTCTTTTCTCAACTGTAAGAGCTGCCACTGAAGAACCTTTGTTGTTGTTCTCTCAGGTAAAACACTTCTGGTGGGATAACTTAAAGATTGAGGTTTGCAAAATTCAAATTACTCTTAAAAGCACTTGAATTATTAATGCCTAATGATTAGCCTGAAGGTGCAGAGTGATTCCATTGACACCAGCAGCTGCCATGTGCATTCAAGGATGAAATTGGGCTTTAGAAACATTGAGGTGTTGCTGTCAGGAGAGAAAGCTATTTTTGAAATCTGAATATACAAGGACATAAATTAGCTAAACCCAATGAATTTTCAGTTACCTTTTTCATAGCATTGGCAAGTTTGAGGCTCAGACAAGGTTGAACATGCTGAATGAGAATCAGAATGAGGCAGAGGAGCAAAGAGTCTGACAACAGATGACATATCTGAGATAATCTTGATAATCTGAAGTTGTATTGCGTTGTCTTACCAGTCAAAACACATGAAGCTCCATATACAACCTTGAGATTTGTGAGGAGAAAATAGCACGTAGTAATTTTCCTGTTGAGTGCATGTGTGAAATAATTCCACTTGACAGTAGCTTCAAACAAATCTGGTTAAAACTCTTTTGTCCTTCTTGGCTTCTTTTGTATTATTTTGTCTGAACTGTTTATTGGGGTTATTTGGAGACCATTCCAGCTGTGTCTGGTATATTTGCCAGCTATCAGTAGTTAAACTTCAGAAACAAACCCAATGTATCGGGTCATTATCATGGTCTGATTATTATTATTTCCACACTACTTGTTTGGATTCTTTCCAATTACAAGGAGAACCAGGAGAATCCGAAGAATGTGAAGCAGCAACAGAAAAAGCAAGCAGGAACTGATGAAAGGATAATCTGACTTGGTTTATTGTCAGATCTGTTTGTTCTACAGCTTCTAGAATAGCATTCAAAGCAGACAGCAGTTTTAAGCAGTAATTAAGCAGTGATTTCAGAAGCAAGGACTCCATTTCAGGTGACTGGCTGATTGGAATGCTCACAAGTGCAGTAGGTAGTAGTATTACCATCTAAAACATAAAACAACAATGCAAAACTGTATTGTCTATTACAGATCCTGTATTAGCTTATTCTGCTTATCCTTTATTCAGTGTTGGAGACTGTCTTTTTGGTGACTGAATGATTTAGAAAAAGGCCTTTTAAGGTACTTTGCTCATTCTTACAATGTAGCCAAGCAATCCGGGAGAGAAGTCAGGTCTTACTGAATAAGATATCTTGAGCTTGCAGAAAATAAAAGTGTGTGTTAAGCCTGCAAACAGTAATGCAGCTCTGGTTTGAAAATTTCATTTTCTTTAGGACTTGCTTATAACTGAAATCTACATGTTATCAAGCTGTGGGGGATCTAGAGCTGAAAAGCAGGAGGTCAGATTCAGAGGAAGAAAATAACTTACGCTTTTGAGGGTGCTGTAGGTGAATTGGTAATCTAACCAGGTTTAAAAGAAAAGGCCAGAAACTGAAGTGTCTAAATAATGGCTTTAAACTAAAAGATCTTAAGATCTTCCCTGTGAGGGTGCTGAGGCGCTGGCACAGGGTGCCCAGAGAACGGCGAGTGTTCAAGGCCAGGTTGGACACAGGGGCTTGGAGCACCCTGCTCTAGTGGAAGGTGTCCCTGCCTGTGGAAGGTGTCCCTGCCCGTGTCAGGGGGTTGGAACCGGATGAGCTTTAAGGTCCTTTCCAACCCAAACCAGTCTATGGTTCCATGATCATTCAGACATTTCTCTAGTGGTTTTGCCTAAAAGAATGATTTGCAGTTCTAGGCATGGTGATAAACCAGACAGGGCTGGATGTAACTCTTGCTGATCTCACTAGTGAGTCCTTGAGTTTTCCATCAAGGATTTGTGTGCTACAGCTAAACCACAACTCCTTCTTTCAATGAGTATTGTAGCTGCCTCTTGTATCCTGCTTAACTGTTGGGTTCTGGAGCACAGGAGTATTTTAGGTTGGCAGTTGTAGCCATCCTCAGGAAAACTTGAAGCTCTCCTATATGCCTTGGGATATGGCTCACATAGATCTGTGTTTCCTTCATCCCTCAGTATAGTCCAAGAGGTTTTTAATAAGGAACATTTTCCTCATGGCTGCTCACTGGCTGTTGCCTCAAAGCAGAACAGGATTTTGCCTCCTTTTATATCTACAAGCTTGTTACTTGCTGATGCCCCAGGTGGTAAGGAAGGTGCTTTAGTCCTCTATGCTACCTTGGTGTATTCGTAGCTATTGAAAATGTCATGATGCCCACTAACAACAACAATAAAGTCCATAAACAGAGTTTGAAGAAAGAAAATACAGCTCTGGCTTTGTTTGTTCAGGTTTTAAAGCTATCCTCAGGATGGTATTGCATCGAATCCTTGCTTAGCACCTGGGGCTCTGTTACACTGGGGGCTCTGTTACACTGAGAGGCATTCTCTGCTCCAGAGAATTCATTGCAAGTGTCAGGACATGACCAAAAAGTGATTGTTTTAAAGAGGAATAACATACTAATTTTCAGTACAAAACACACTTGGGAAGAAGCACAACTTATAAGACCAAGGTGGTATTAATTAGGAAGCAAAAAAGGAAATGTGTAACTAATACTTGTAGTATTTTTCTTGAGCAGAGAACAGGTAATTCTGGACAATTTGAAAATGAAACTAGATCATCCCAAGGGTAGGGATGTCAGGAAACAGCTATACTTCCTAGACTCCTCATAACTCTTATTCTTCTGTGCCTAGGAAGCAGCATATAACTAAATTCATCTCCCTTTTCTTCTTTCTCATGCTCTCTGGAATTGAACAGATCCTTTTTCTGCTACTGTTGATAGTGTTGATGATGCCATTCCAAACCTAAATCCTTTCCTTACAAAAACTAACGATGCTGCTCATCTGTCTGTGTCTTCTGAGGTATCTACTTTCACCAGTAGGACACCCACACATGAAATGTTTGTTGGTAAAGTACTATTTTCAACTAATTTCCTATTTCCTAAAAAAAATTAACATTATTTCAGTTTCTAAAGTATATTGGTGGGCCTTTCAGAAACTGAAAGCTGGTTGTTTGGGGCTGATTTTTGTGCTATGATTTAGTAATTGTGCCATGAAAATGGTGTTAAAATCCTTGCTTGGCTGCCTAAATGGGATTCTACCTGCCGTAAAGGAGCTTAGTTCTAGTTAGAGCACCTGTTTGACTGATTTTATGGCATAGGGATTTTGAGGTAAAATACATGCCTGAGAATGAAAAGAAAATGCTGCTACTTTGTTCCTCAGGTTGAAATGTTGTATTTGGGGTTTTTAACTTAAGAGCTTAATCTGATTTATTTGGAAGTGGATGTTTTTTTCCCCCAATCATGCTGGCATTAACAAACCCAATAAAGCCATGCACATCCTGGTGCGTGGTCTACTCAAACCCTCTTCCTACAAGGCAATAAGATAATGACTCACCTCTTCAAACCTGTTGAAATCTTCCTTTGGAGGTGATTCAGCGTGGCTGTCATGAGAAATCCTCCTCGCATCTCCGCTGGTGCAGCTGCATAGTAATTTGATTACTTTTCAAGATGAAGAATTAACTTAGCTTTCATAGACTAAAAATCAATTACTTACATGTCAGTTCTGTTCTTCAGCAAAGCTACATTTAAAGATAATTGTGCTGCACAACAGGCTTGCTTTTTGCTGTTCGAACCCCACTAGAATTGATCAGGGAAGAATCTACACTCTTATTACAAAGAAATCTTTATCTACTCTGCTGTGGTGGGACCTCACCTGAAGTACTGCATCCAACTCTGGACTCCTTAGTACAGGAAAGATGTGGATGTGTTAGAGAGGAGGGCCACAGAAATGATCAGAGGGCTGGAGCACTTCTCCTATGAAGAGAGGCTGAGAGAGTTGGGGTTGTTCAGCCTAGAGAGACGTTACTATGGCCTTCCAGTTCTTAAAAGGGGCCTATAAGAAAGATGGGGAGATACTTTATAGCACGGCCTGTTGCAAATGGACAAGGGGGTGATGGTTTCAAACTAAAAGAAGGGAGACTCAGGCTGGATGTGAGGAAGAAATTCTTTACAAAGAGGGCAATAAAACCCTGGCACAGGTTGGCCAGAGAGGTGGTGGATGCACCATCCCTGGAGACACTCAAGGCCAGGCTGGATGTGGTTCTGGGCAACCTGATCTAGTTGAAGATGTGCCTGCTCATTGCAGAGGGGTTGGACTTACATGAGCTTTGGAGGTCCCTTCCAACTCAAATTGTTCTATGATCTCTGGTACTTGAATAGAGATAAACCAAAGGGCTCTCTTTAGAGACATTCAAGCCCCCTGTATTTTGTCACCTCAGCAGACTAGTTCCCTAGCTTGTCTTTGGTTAGGGAAAAGAGAAAACAAGCAAGATCAAGCACAAGAACTGTTGCTGAGAACTTCTTTACACAGGATTCCCAGAGAGCTTTACTTGGCTGAGGCAGCAGTATAAGTACTGTGAGCTGGTACTACTGCATAATGAACTGGCAGTTACATTCTACATGCTAATGTAGATTGATTATTTGAAATACAGCTGGGTTTAGTAAGGTTATTATTCAATCAGATCAGTTTCCTCTGCATAATTTGTTCAGCAGTCATACGAAAAGTTGTAGCAGAGCAGGACTGGAAACAGGGAACCTGGTGGGTATTTGTGGCACTTGCTGGGTTTTGTAGTGTTCAGCACATGGCAGCCCTGAGGTCACTGGAGAAGGATGACATCGGTACGTTGCATTCCCTTCCAGTGTCTCATTCTCTGAAGATACATCTAGAACCAAAGTGTGACCTGACCTCCTGATGGGCCCACATGTGATATGTAACTGCAGTTTTAGCTGTAGCACAAACAAGGTGCTACAACAAAGTGAATGTGGATTTAAAATAACTCTTTCTGGTTCTTTAGATCATTACAATCCGTTTACTCAACTAAATCCCTTTGTGGCAACCAAATATGAATCTACTATTGGGCTGTGTCCTTATACTTCAGGTATAAGAAAAATGCCTTGAAGCTTTTACACTCATTTCTTCCATGGGTGTAAAACATGGCATTTGCTTTAATGAAAAATATTTATCCTAATATAGTTGTAACTTTGAAACCATGCTTTCCCCTTTCGTGTTATAGATAAATGTAAATCTGTTTCTTGCTGTATGTGTGATGTGTATTGATTTCATTCCATTGGTTCTATGTTATTAGTGTATATGTGGATTTATAGGCTGACCTGAAATTAGACGTTTTGAATAGCAGATAAACAGTGTATCTTGGTTCTCTTTCTGTAACTCTCCCTCTTCTCCTTTCCTGGCTTTCTCTCTTGTGTGATACGCCTTATCAGACTCTTTTTGTGGTCCTCAAGCTTACCCTAATGCTTCTCATTTCCGCAATGAGCCTTCTTCTGTAGCTGGTCTATTTGGAGGTAGGTAATGGGATACAGCCTTTCCACAAACACAGGAGTTTGAATGTGTTCTGTGCCTAGAACTAGTAGGCATGTCATTGGCTACAGAAGCGTGTTATTATAGTGGCTCCAGCTTTCATTCATGTGCTTGTGCAAGGTGCATTGTCACAAATAGTACCTATTTTTTCAGCTTATGCTAAACTAAGACTTACTTAGTCTAAACATGAAATGAGTATCTCCCCATTTCAGGATCTCTTGTAGCTTACATGTTGCTACATACCGCACCCAAGACTTGCATGTTATAAGTATCTTCTCATCTTCCTCTATCTCTTTGTTTTTAAAACAAAGGGATTGGGATGTTCTTGCTGCTTATGGCGTTTTTGTTGATATATCACTCTTAAACAGTGCACTAAACTAGTACAAAGCTTTGCAACACAGCATGAGAAAGAGGTATCTGCTGCATTATATTACAGCCTAATCATTTGTGCAGCTGTGTAACATCTGTATAGTGACCCAGTACAGGTGCTGGTTCTGGAATACCATCCTGACAGCTATTGGACAGGCTGTGGACCATGACAAATGATGATCTATGTAAACCAGAGTGAACAGGGAGTGTTAACATCGTTACTGTGCAAGGTTTAGGAATACCTTCAATAAATGGTTTCTGGGAGAGTTAGTTCTTAAAAGCACCATGAAGTCACATTTTGGTTTAGAGTCTTTGAATAGAAATAACTAGAGTCATTTAACGAAAGGTTAAATACTATCTATGACTGTTCCCTTTGTTCCATATCCAAAAAGCAGGGTTAGTTTCTGTCAAGTCTTGTTGGTCTGTTCTCTCAAAGGAACTCCACCAAAATACTGACCTTTGCACCTTTCAAAACATCCATTTTCAGAGGAAATGCCTTGGGCTGGTGGTTGATACCGGGGGTAGGATTTGATCTCATTCAGAGGCTGATTCAAAGGAGACCTGTGGATTGTTTTGTCTTCTGGCTTGTCTCATCTCATTAGCTTCGTAAAGCTTGAAACTTCCTAAATTGTGAGAGCAGGCAACTCAGCTTGCTTTTAGTTAAGGCTGTTTTCCTAAAGAAAAACAGGAGCTATTGTAAGTCAAGTTTTCTATTGGTACAGGCACGGTTTTAAGAGTTGCAGGACATCCCATCAAAGGAATTCCTACCCACAGTTCAGAGTCTCTGAAATGGCTTGTTACAACTTGACGGTATATACTTGTCATAAAGATACTCATTTTGGTTTGTTGATTATTTACTCCCTGTCTTTTTCCACATTACTGCTTCCCATGTTTTGCTGTATGCTCTTTGATTTGCTTTTAATGAAAAGTACATTAAGTTCTTAGTGACGGATGCTTTGGAGTTACAAGTTCCTTTAAGACAAATAGGAAGGAACAGGTAATCCAAATGACTGTGATGTTTATGTTCAAGGATAGCATCCTATAGTTATTAATTTTTTAGGTGAAATGTGACTTAAGGGAGTAAAACAACAAGACTGAGATGAGGTGCTGTAACAGCAAGCTAAATGAAATCCAAGAAGTACTCTTCATCAGTTAATTCTGCTCACTGCAGTGTTTTACTACTGAATTATTTGTGATCCTTTTATTTCTCTGTATCCTCAACGTGTCTGTTAGAAACCAAAGAGCTGGTTTTCAAGCTGGCATTTAATTTTATGGTGCTTTTCAGATAATGTGATAATTACTTCTGCAACTGCCTGAATATCTGGATGATGAGCATACGCGCTTGTGTGCGTGACCACAGTTAACTTGAAACCATACAATTTTAGAAACAAATCAGCACTTGATTCCATATTACTGAACTATCAACTTAATACTGCCAAACAGCAGAAGCAGTGCTTTGTACTGCAGTAAATGTTCACAGTACTGAAAATAATTGTGCATTTGGAGAACACTGCTTTACGGATACCTAGAAGGAGATGAGGAGTAATTCAGACAGAAACAGGAGTTGAAACTTGGCTTCAACTCCCCATCTCTTGCCATAATTTCTAGAAAGTTATCTGCAAAACATGGTCACCTGCAAAATATGTATCAAAACCCCAAAGTAAGCACTCTAAAACTATTACTGTTATGAATGTGTAATCAAAGGCATTACTAGTCAGGCACCTTGGGATGGTTTGGATCTTACTCCAGTTGTATCTAAGGGAACTGCTCAACTGATGTAAAATGTGGAGGGAATAATCTTCAGGCAGGTAATCTTGAAACAGATTCCCTGCCCAGTCAGCTTCTCTTCCTGGAGAAGCATGGTGATTATTTCCTCTCTAACTTTATTGTAACTATTTGGTAAAAGAATAAGGAAGATGTGAATAGTTAATCCAGAGATATAGCATGTGGGGAAAGGAGTCTATCCAGTTTTTGAGACAGAACCTTTCATTGGAAGAGTAACTCCAAATAAACTTCAACTAAAGTGCTACCAGCTCTTTCTCTTACATACTTTGCAGTGTCAGGGTGTAATCTGGACTTTAAATATTCTGCGTATTTACTTGGCTTGTCTTGCATAAAGAAGGTGGATTCATGGGAAATGCTGTATAAAAACATTCAACTTCTTTCTTTTTCCCACAGGGTTCGCTCCATCTCCTGTTGCTCAACCACAGCCATCAGCTGGCCTTAATGTTGACTTCGAGTCTGTGTTTGGAAACAAATCTTCTAACGTTGTCCTAGATTCTGGTGGTAAGACACCAGTTAGGACCAGTTAGGTCCTAACTTTCTTTATTCTTGAGGTATAAATCTCTTGATCTATGACAGTGTTTCAGCTGAAGAAAACGCTGACTTTAAAAGGTCAATAGCAGCGTTCTTCATCAAGTTTTTCTTTATTAATCAAAGAATTTTTCCTTTACACACTATTTCTGTGTGCATCCTGCTGTTTTTTGAAACATTTACACTAATTTCCTTCACTGAAGTATTTTGTGCATTAGAACCTCACACAGCGAAGAGCCTTCAATTTACATGCTGTCAAATTAAGTTTGTATTTGTAGAGTGTGGTTCGAAGAGGTAAAGTTGTGCCTTAATTTTATGTATCTGTGCAACACATTTTTGGTACTTCCTTCTTTGTTACTCTTTTGATGTTAAGATTATATGAGAAAATGATAAATAATCAAGGTGTACAGAATTGATATGGATTGTAGTCATAGTTGTCTTTCTGTTCTTTTGAGCATCTGGGAATTAAATACTACTGCTCTTTAGACACTGGACTTTTGACATCAGATTCTTTTTGGGCAAAGCAGTGATCCACTAAAAACAAATACATATTTTTGTAAGATTGCAATACTTCGTTTATTCTTTGGGTTATATTTTGATTGAGTTGCAGTCACTGTGAATCCATTCCATGTAAAATTGGTGCCACATAGGTTAAACTAGTCAAGTGAAATGTCTTTTCTGTAGCAAGTACCTCCTTTACCAAGAGGCATAAAAAAATAAGTCTTAATCCTTGTGTAGTGTAGCATCACTAGGTTAAATGTTGTATTCAAGCTGTTGTGTTGAACTTGCTGTCTGTAAAATTGGGTGTCATGATGTTCATGGGAGGCCTGGGATTCAAATCACTTATTCTCTGTTTGTCATTCCCAGGCTTTGATGAACTAGGTGGTCTCCTAAAACCAACAGTGGCCTCTCAAAACCAGAGTCTTCCAGTTGCCAAAGTACCACCAAACAAATTAGTGTCAGATGATCTGGATTCATCTTTAGCCAATCTTGTAGGCAGTAAGTATTGAACCACTACCATAGAAATACATATTTCTTTCTAAATTAATAGAACTTCAATAGTATCTTTTTCTACTTTGTCACAGATTTGGGCATTGGGAATGGAACTACTAAAAAGTGAGTATGCTTTATCAAAAGTTGATCACTTTTATTTTCTTGATAGTAAACTTTTATGACAGCAAAGTTTCAAACCTGTGTGTAACAACATAATGGAAACCTTCAGAGCATGTTTGGGGTTGTACTTTGCTTCTCATACAGAGTAAAATGAATTATTGAGAGCTGTTGGAAGGTGACTGTAGACTGAGGGGTAATAACAGTGATCACAGCAGGCAAGATGTCTCCTGTCTTTAATTCCTTTCAGGCTTTATATATATTTAGGAAATCAGTTCATCAAAATGTTTCTTTGTAGGTAATCTTGGCAAACCTTAAATGCTTCGTGTGATCTGAGTGTGTGCAGAGCTGTATTAAAGACTGAAATTAAAACCTCCGGCTTGTGGTTGAGCTTTAGACAAGTGAATTTTGAAGCAGGGTGTATTCTGGGACAGTGCACATCTGCTCTAGCAGCTGCTTCTAACTAAACTATCTTGACCCAAGGACAGTCAGCTAGACTGACTTCCCTGTACTGGGGAACTCAACTGAGATTAGATAAAGCTGAGCAGGCTCATGTTGAACATCTTACCTTACTTTTTCTAGCCAAAAGAAACTGTGAAGAGACTTTTATAAACTCCTTTGCTAAATGAGCTTCTTTAACAAAAGAAGCCATGTTACTAATAGGAAATAGTGTTTGCCTGAGGGAGTTTTGTAAGAAAATCCAATATTTTCTAACAACCCTTTAAAAAATTTATTTGAAGTGATGTAAACTGGACTCAGCCAGGTGAGAAGAAACTAACAGGAGGTTCCAACTGGCAACCCAAGATTGCACCTACAACCGCGTGGAATGCTCCGACGCTGGTAAGCAAATACTTGGTTTAAAATAGTGAGTTCCTTTCAACTTAGGGATGCAGGTGATGTTTGATGGAAAAGTTTGAGAGGGATCTAAAGCTGCAGTAGAAAGGTAGTAGAAAACTGAAGAAGTGGTCAGTTTGAGATGTCTGTACTACTAGTATTTGTTAGCTGTGCTGTGACATGTGCAGGTTTATGCTAAACTTCAGTAGTGTTTGACCAGCTTCTCTCTTGGCAAGATAGCAGCCTTTGTGTTTCACTGACAAGGGCCTGTGGGGACAGGACAAGGGGAATGGCTTTATCCTGCCAGAGGGGAGATTGAGATGAGCTCTGAGGCAGAAGCTCTTCCCTGTGAGGGTGCTGAGGCGCTGGCACAGGGTGCCCAGAGAAGCCGTGGCTGCCCCATCCCTGGCAGTGTTCAAGGCCAGGTTGGACACAGGGGCTTGGAGCAACCTGCTCTAGTGGAAGGCGTCCCTGCCCATGGCAGGGGTTGGGACTGGATGAACGTTAAGGTCCCTTCCAACCCAAACCAGTCTGGGATTCAAGGACATAAAACTGTGAATTCTAGAGGGTTTGGGGGGCCCCACATTTCAGTCTAGAAAAATAGAAGTATGAAAAGTATGTTCTTCAGTTGCACTGATAGTCAAGTGTGTCTCCATCACAACTCAGCCTGCTGTGGGGGTGAGAACAGACCATGAGATTAATCCCCTTGATACTTTTAAAGTTATCTGTGCAGTGATGTGGGCTACAGCTTTCTTAATGTGCATAACGACTGCTTTCCTGCCCTGATGTCTGCAGTTCTTTTTAAGATGTGTCAATTTTAGTGATCAACTTCAGAGTGTCTGTTGTAGCAAGCAGCACTGGTGAGGATTTTTGGGGTAGCATATAGAGCCAGGGCACTAATTACATGTCAAGATTTTACAGGAGTAGTGCTCACAATGCTAACAGAACAGTTTTGCATGTGAATCCTACTTATCCTCTCACCAATGACCTGGAACACTGTACAGGGACAGAACAAGTAACAAAACGCCCCTGAGGAATTATTACCTCTGACTGTAACTGACTGGGGGAGGTTGATTCTGCAGCATAATAATACAACACTGTGGATTTTGAGAGTGCTTGTCTCCATAGATCCACCACCTCTTCCCTACTGGGTGGCCCATATCATAGAATCAGACTGTGCTTATGTTTAGGGAGATTTAGATTAGATGTTACGAAGAAACTCTTCCCTGTGAGGGTGCTGAGCCGCTGGCACAGGGTGCCCAGAGAAGCTGTGGCTGCCCCATCCCTCGCAGTGTTCAAGGCCAGGTTGGACACAGGGGCTTGGAGCAACCTGCTCTAGTGGAAGGTGTCCCTGCCCGGGGCAGGGGGTTGGGACTGGATGAGCTTTAAGGTCCTTTCCAGCCCAAACCATTCTATGAGTAAAGCTTGTGGATCTCACCAGAGGCCATGTAGATACTGAAGAAACTGCAGCTACTCACCTGCTCTAATAAATGGTGGTTTGAGTTTACTTGTGTGCTTGAATCTGTTTAATAACTCATGTCTTTGTATATACATCTTCTTGTAATAAGTCATTACACTGAACAGCTTTTATTATTAGAGGTACCACTGAGACACTTCTCTTCCTGTGAAACTGTTCTATTAACCTACAAATCTTGAAACAGAAATTAGGGGGAGGCAGTTTGTTTTTCCTCTGCTGGTCTATTTATTGTGGAGTTGCTGCTGCTTGCTGAATAGATATGCTTTTGAACATAAGGCTTGGATAAAGGCATATACCAAATAAATGGACTGTGCAAAACAACTACAAACCTAATATTGGTGACAGTATCACAGGTGTTTGTTGTCTCAGTGAATGACTTGAATTACAAGAACGTGTTGGGGTAAACATTTTAATGTATTTGTGAACTAAAATGCTATCTGTGTATATTCTGTTGTGTAAGTATTTGCTTCTAATCCAGTGTTATTGCATTATGTAATTGTTCTCCCTGGGGAATACAGAATGGCATGCACTTTCCACAATACGTAAGTGAAACAACCCACAGCCTTTTTTGCAATCGACTGGCATGCTGATATTAACCACTGCTCTTGCAGAACCTCATAACCTTCTTGCTATTGACACATTTCTCATTTTAAAATCTTTGGTGTGCCAAAAAATTGGAGCTTTTCCTAGCATACACCAACTCCATAGGTGGTCTGCAGCCTCTTGACTCGAATGATGGCATGGGAAACACTGAGATGATTTTTTTTCCTTGCTTTAAACTGTACCATTTGCTGCCAGAGAGCTGGGGTGTGTGTCTGTGCTGCCTTTAATGCACTTGGTGAATTCTGAATGAAGATTAAAATGTTTGTGTTTGAATAACTGCATGAAACCTCACGGGCTTCTGTTATACTTGGCACTTTCTCCACCTTGATGGTAGATCTTGATTGGTTTTCATTTTGTTTTAAGTGGGGAGAGACCAATATGTCATTAATGCTCAGCTGGAACAAGAAAATCCATGCTGACAGCTTACAAAGGGCAGGCAGTAACCTGTGCTTGCTGTCTGAGGAATGCAGCCTTGCGTTTCAAAGGAGGTTTTTTCTTTGTCAACAGTGATATTGGTCTTTCCCTGTGCTCTGTTTTTGTTGCAGGGTAACTCTAACTAAAGGATGGTAGGTCTGAGCACTCAAAACTAAATGTAGTCAGCATGTTTGTGCAGCAAAACAGAAGTATTTTCAGGGTAGCTTGGCCAGCTGTGTGAAACACATGGATAGTACATGGCTAGAGAATTCTTGCGTGGGGAAATCTGTTCCAATGGCAATTGAAACACCAGTGACTGGCTACTATATATGAAAAGGCAGCTGATACCTTAGAACTGAATCCAGCAGCAGCTTTGCTGATGTCCTGGTCTTCATGTTACAATTGTTCTGCTTTAATTAATCCACTGTTCTTAATATCTTGTCATTTACCTCTTCCCTGTATCAGTACTCTCTGTGTACCAAGAAATGCATATGGTCTGTGTCTTGTCACAAACAGTAATCCCCACAGCAACAGCATGAAAGTTAGACTCTTGAAGGAGAGTCTAAAAGGAGGTAGAGTGGATAGACAGCAGGTTACCTGAATATTTATATAGTCTGAAAGAAAACCAAACCTCTTTTTGTCCTTGTGAGAGTTAATGCTAATTTAGAAAGTGTGTAATGAACTATAGAACCAAGAATATGAAGAACTGTCTTTAATATATTTCCCCTTCTGAGTTATCAGCTGTTTTTCTATGTATATGTTGCCAAGCTGCTTACAGAACATAGCCTCACCCCAGGTTTTGTCTTGTGACAGCATCTTGCTGTAAGTTCCTAAAAGTTAGCTTAGCTTAAAGTTAATACAAACGTATCTTCAAAGCACCAAGAGAATGTGAAACCTCTTCAGATTCACTGTACTAAGTGGGTGAGTGTGAGAGAATACAAGATATTCATGTTGAATTTCTATTGAAACATAATAGGAGAATCCCCACAGCGTGTTATCCTGGCTAGAGAGAAGAGAATTCCCTTAATGTCAGCAGAAGCAATGGTAATTTGGTCTTTCCATCTTTAAAATTCACTCTTAAGACTCCTTGTGTGCTGTTACTTCTGATATTGAAATATAAGTATGTACTTTATGGGTTTAAAACAATGCTTCTGCTCCCTGAATAGTTTCTCTCAAACTTCTCCGTGTCTCCCACTGTGTTTTTTAAACAGGATGCTGAGAGAATGGTAGCTTGCAGTTTAGGTTAGCCTGACAGGTTAAAAGCAAATACATAATCATACATTTGCCAGTAGAAACTTTAGCTTAGGTGCTGTACTTCAGCTGAAATACTTTGGATACACTCTTGACACAAGAGTGCAAATCCTACTTGTTCTTTGCTCTATCCGTAACAAGCCAAGTGCTGCAGTTGACCCTTAGACCGCAATGTCTTCCCAGTGTGCAGCTGCTCCCTTCTCCTCTTAGTTCACCACTGTTTTTCACACCAGGCACCACCTGTCATGGCGTATCCTGCCACAACGCCAACGGGAATGATGGGCTACGGGATGGTGAGTGGAATTCCTGCAGCTCAAGTGGGATGCTTTAGGTTTGATCGTGTATAGTTTAGTAGCGGTTGGTTTCCTCAACTGTGTATCTGAAGACTGAATTTCTGCTCCTATTGGTTTATTCTTCACCAAATCATAAAATCCTGGTTTTCTGAACTGCTGCAGTGGGTTTTGTCTAAAATTGAAGTTTACCCTTTAATACCTCACTTAGTTTTTCATAAACTTCTTAAAATTAATTGGCTTTATTGGTGTAGAAACAAGTGTATTGTAGAAATAAGCATATTGTGCAAATAGGTGCAGCGTGTGAGTACAGACAACCTCATTCACAACAGGGATGTTTTACCAGTGAAGTGAAACCTTCCTTAATTACTTGCTCCCAACCTCAGCAGAAGTTATTTGTAATGATCAGTGCTACAGAACTGTAAGTTCGTGATGTGTTGTGGTACTGGTTGAGGTTGAATCTTTGTGACACACCAGCACTGTGAGGCTTTTGACATAGACCTGACCTCACTGCTTGTTGCTCTGAAAAGTTGCTCAAGTTTATGGTCTTACCTCAAGTTTTAGAATATTTCTGAGATGATTTGCCTTAACTCTTCCTTCTTAGAATGGGTTTGATGTAGCACAGCTTTGCTGGGTGAGTTAAAGGGAGAGAACTGCCTTAGAACAGTGATGCTGTTACACAGCTCACAGATTATAGTATAAAAATAAGCTAAATGTTTCATCATGTAATCAAATTAACAATTTATAACTTGTATACACCCAGTAAGCAAACTGTGAAAGCAGCCAGCTGTGTTCTTGAGGCTCTTCTGAGGGAGGATTGTATTCCCCACTGTGCATCTGTGAAGTCCTGTAGTATGGTGGTGTGCAAAGTCATCATGGTTAAACTACCAGTGGTGTAGATTCAGAGTTGTTCTACACAGCTTCGCATTGATGGTGCTGCAAGCATTTTCTTAGTTAGTTTGATTCAGCAGCTGGGAAAGCCTTCCAGTACCTAAAGGGGCTACAAGAAGGCTGGAGAGGGACTTTATACATAAAATAATCTTGCGTGGTTTGTAAAGCAGCTTTCGTTGTGGGGTTTAAAGATAGGAGTACCAGGATTAGTCAAGGAAAAGCTGCTGGGAATGGAGATTGCTTCAGTAGGACTGCTGCTGGGTATGAGCCCAAGCCTGAGGGGACTGCCAAAAACAGTGCTAGAGACGGGCATTTACATGAAATAAAACTTGACTTCTGAAACCATTAATATAGGTTAAACTCTTCCCGTGGCTCAGCCAGAGTGTCAGTAACACTTCAGGCTAGGACTGCATAATGACTTTGTGTTAATTGCACAGGGAGTTCTCAATTCCCAATTTTTCTTAAGCTCAGCTCTGCATAGGTGTCTAAATCTGTTCTTGTGCTTTCAGAGGCAGGCAGGGAAGCGCTTCCAACCTCAGTTTGGGAGCAGGAGCACCAGCACAAATGCGTGTGCTTAAACAAGTACTTTAGTGTTTCAGATCTTTGCAGCAAGAGATGAAATGGGCTCAGCTGCTATTGGGAGTGTTCCTTGAAAAGGCTCTAATGTTCCCTAAAGTAACCTTTATTTGCAGTATATTGTAGAAAGGGCTTCCTGATTGCATGTGTCAAATCTGACCAAGGCTTCTCACCCACGTGCCATTTTCCTTTCTCTCCTTAAACCACAGAATATAATACTTGTGATGTGTTAATGCTGTGTGTGATTTGATGCTGTCTGGATCTCTTGTAGCCATCGCAGATGGGAGGCATACCAGTAATGACACAGCCAACTTTAATATACAGTCAGCCAGTCATGAGACCACCAAACCCCTTTGGCCCTGTCCCAGGAGCACAGGTGTGTATATCCAAAGTCATTGGTGCCATATTGGAACAAACTGCAGCTGGATCAGCTCCTTTAAAAGTGTTTTAATGTTTTCTTGTGTTGGATAAATGTATTGCACAAGCCCAGGGTGTGAGGATTGCTGCCTAGGTTATAACTCCAGGTTGGCAGCATCAAGTGCATCCTACAGAAGGAGAGGATGGGGGTTTAAGGCACTGGTTTTGTGGGAATGTGACTGAGGTTATTCTATGGTCTTTAGTAAGAGGATAGTTAATGTCCGTGCTGTTTGCTGAAGACAAGTTTGTTCCCCAAAGTCACCTTCTGTGCTGCTTTACCTCTAAGTGTGTGAGATTGTGGTATTGCAGCTTTTTCCTAAGGATGCTGGAGAGGGGCTCTTCATCAGGGACTGCAGTGATAGGACAAGGGGTGATGGGTTCAAACTGGAACAGGGGAAGTTCATAAGATATAAACCAGAAGCTCTTCCCTGTGAGGGTGCTGAGGTGCTGGCACAGGGTGCCCAGAGAAGCTGTGGCTGCCCCATCCCTGGCAGTGTTCAAGGCCAGGTTGGACACAGGGGCTTGGAGCAACCTGCTCTAGTGGAAGGCGTCCCTGCCCGTGGCAGGGGTTGGAGCTGGAGGAGACTTAAGATCCCTTCCAACCCAAACCAGTCTGGGATTGCATGATTCCATGTGTGCCAATGTTCTTCAGCCTGTTACACTTAAAATTTATTAGATTATAAAGTAACCAAGTCTGGCAGGAGCTGTAAACTTTTTTTAAGTGTAAGCTTCATGCTTACATTACAGCATTTCTCAGGGAACAAACAGGGCAGATGAAACCTTTTGGGTCTGTGACTGTTACAGATGGGCTTGAAAAGATCATGAAACTTCAACCAAACACCTCAGTGGGAGGCAGATGGCACCTTCATCTAGTTTTAACCATTGAGTTCTCCACAGGTCTTTGTGTTCCTCCGTGGTTTTGCAGAGACAGTGTTGGCAGCACAGGGAAAGATACCCAATAGCTATAGCAACTTCTTTGGCCTTTCCTTGCCAAGTGTTATGTTTAAGTGGAGTGTTCCTTAAATTGCCTGCTTTGCTGCTTCTCGTGTTGTGAATAGACTCACTTCCTGATGTACTGGAAGGAAGGACTGTGCTGAAGGGTTCTTCTGACCTTTGAGAAGAACTGACTTTATCAATACTGGAGTTAAATATGTTCCTTTTTTTGGCTTGTTTATCAAACTTCTGACACTGCGAGGTTTCTGTCTGAACTCACAGCTTTTAACACTGTTGCCATCTCAAAAGAGTGTTTTGAAGTAGAAGAAAAACATTTGGAGAAGGGAGAAGAGGGGATGGATGACTTCAAACACCTTCACAGTGCTTCCAGAAACTACTGAGAGCATTAAGGCTTTGTGTCTGTGAGCTGTAGTTAGAGGCAGAGTGTAGCTGGCCTCCGGTGTGAACAGTGTGGGTTTTACTCACCAGTCAGATGTTTCTCTGTCAAAGTTCAAACTACACCATGATTCTAATAGAAAACAATGTAATATATTGAGTCAGTATTTTGATCTTCCTATAAAGAGCTCAGTCTTTAAAGGGGACTGTTTAAAAACACCTGTATAACGTAGGTATGCATTGGGCTGTGTGTGGTGTTTGGGTCTAGAGTTTGGAGGGGAGAGAATTCAGCAGTAGGTTGGAAGGGAAAAGAGCCTCAAACATTGTCCAGTGCCTGAATCTGATCCTTTAACAGGAGAGGCTGTGCTGTGTGCCGCAGGAGGCAGCGTGGACATTGTCTGCCTTAAAATACAGCCTTGGGGATAGACCCTTTTCTTAATATTCTTACTTTATAAAGGCTTTCTCTGAAAGGGAAGTTGTTGGAGTTCTTCAGCTAGAAATACAGTTCTCTGTTAACTTTCTCTTGGGCTTCTGAGAGATGCTGTGCACATTCACTGCCACTTAAGTGAATTGGTATCTTTCACGTGGGTTTTATGTTATTTCAAGAGTGGGGAGAGAGTGTTTATGACTCTTCTTAAATAAAAAGCAAGTTAATCCTCAAGGAGAAGAGATTTTCTATAGCTCCCCAAAACCATCTTATTTGAAATGACCCTTTAAAACCAAAACTAAATAATAACCTGCCCACTTGCCTGAGTCAGACACAGGTCGGTGGGTCTGAGGAGCCAGACGAGGCCTTTCTGCTTCATTGGATGTTGTAGGGCTTGGTCTAGGTTGAATCCCAGCCACTGTCGTAACAGGGGAAAGAGGAATTAGTCACAAGTGAGGTGTGCAGGGCTGTATTTATGGTGCTTATCTCACTGTTTGGCTCCAGTGAGAATTAATTTGATAGAAACACACCCGTTGAATCAGCGTTTGCTGCGTGACTGAGCAGGGCTCTCCCCGCGACACACAGGCTGCGCCGCGCACGGGCGCTGAGCTCTCCGATGTCTCATATCCTTAAAGCAACCTCAGTGAAACAGAGGCTGCTTGTGAGAGCTGCTTCCTCATGTGTGGCAGAGATGGCGTTTACTCATGTCTAGTTAGTATCATTTAGTAGTAATGGAGACGAGAAGGCTCCTGGAGGGGAGACCTTAGAGCAGCTCCAGTGCCTGAAGGGGCTCCAGGAGACCTGGAGAGGGGCTTTGGACAAGGGCCTGTAGGGACAGGACAAGGGCAATGGCTTTAACCTGCCAGAGGGGAGATTGAGATGAGCTCTGAGGCAGAAGTTCTTCCCTGTGAGGGTGCTGAGGCGCTGGCACAGGGTGCCCAGAGAAGCTGTGGCTGCCCCATCCCTGGCAGTGTTCAAGGCCAGGTTGGACACAGGGGCTTGGAGCAACCTGCTCTAGTGGAAGGTGTCCCTGTGCGTGGCAGGGGTTGGAGCTGGAGGAGCTGTGAAGTCCCTTCCAACCCAAACCATTCTATATTTATTTACTATTATGTTATTCTGCTATTATAATATAAAGGTTCTTTACTAACATATAGCCACAAGGGGAGTTAAGGTATTATCACATGAAATTTACTGTATGCTGAGTCTTAAGATTCTTTTGAGAGTGTATTTGTCTGTTTAGAATCATGGAATGAACTGGATTGGAAAAGCCCTTTAAGACCATCAATTCCAACTGTTCCCCAGCACTGCCAAGGCCACCACTAAACCATCTCACTGAGAGCCTCATCTACATGGTTTTTGAGCAGTTGCAGGGCTGGTGACTCCAGTACTGCCTTGGGGAGCCTGTTCCAATGCCTGAGCACCCTTTGGGGAAGAAATTGTTCCTAATAACCAGTCTAAACCTCCCCTGGTGCAGCTTGAGGCTGTTTCCTCTTGTCATGTTACTTATTACTTGTGAGAAGAGACCGAA